ACATGGAACTGCTATTGAAGAATATCTGATGGTGCAGTTGATGCAGAATGCAGCAGTGCAAATAATTATGGGTGTTCTTTGGTACACACGTTTTGCCTGTACCAACTCCCAGTTGGTTTCTGAATGCAATTCTCAACTACAAAGGTGTTCATGACATAGGCCAGGATATTTGAGAGATTGTCTTTGTCCAATTGTCTCTGTCTGCTCCATCAGGTCTTGCAGAAGGGGCACATTTTGGTTTCATCACATAAGGTGTATCATCTGGTAAGTCCAGCAAGCATGCCTTTTCTGCTGCTGGACTGCCCTTAGGAACATAATTGCTATTCAGGATTAGGTTGGCCTTAAACCTGATGTTTTTTCAGAAGCAGATAACAGATCATCAGAGTCGGAAGGGACCTTGTAGGTCATCTAGTCCAACCCCCCGCCCAAGCGGGCGACCCTACACCATTTCTGACAAATGGCAGCCTAGTCTCTTCTTGAAAGTCTCAAGTGATGGCGCTCCCACAACTTCCGAGGGCAAGCTGTTCCATTGGTTGATTGTTCTCATTGTCAGAAAGTTTCTCCTTATTTCCAGGTTGAATCTCTCCTTGTTCAGTTTTCATCCATCATTCCTTGTCTGGCCTACAGGCACTTTAGAAAATAGATTGACCCCTTCCTCTCTGTGGCAGCCCCAGAAGCATGGGTGTCAGGTGGTTAGGTGAGTCTATGTGTTGTTATTGTTAGAGTTGATGGTTTTGGCTGCTATCCAAAGCCAAGACTATTTGAGGAAAAAACTAGGCTTTTACTATCCTGTTGTTGATCAAAGTTTTAATGTGCTTTACTAAATTCAAGAATTTTGTATAGGCAAAATTGTTTACTGTTATTTCAGGATTTATCGTAGTCCTCTTGAGGTGGCAAAGTCTAACTGTGAATATGTTTACTTGCATGAAGTATTTTAAACATTTTGAAAACATAAATACCATGAATATATGGAAAGTAACTTGTATTTAGTCATGCCAATGAAGGCATATATGCATGCCCTAGGATAATGTTGCAGGATCCAATCTGAGTTGGTCACCAGGACCAGAGGTTTGTTCTTCCAAGCTTTTGGACTCGTGCTGGATCTCCTTCCTCAGGGAACTTCTCAATCTCCAGGATATGTGCATTGGGCAGTTCTATGTATAGTATTTATGTGGTACCTGGCTGTGTGTATCTTTTAGTTGTTGATTGGGTATTGATGGTTAGCTATTAAATAGTTGTTTCTTCGTGCTGCTATGCCCTACAGCTTCTAAGTATCTGGTAAACTGATGCAGATCAGCATTCCTGTTAATTGACAAGGGGCCTGTTTCCCAGGCTTCAATCATTTCTCTGGCTATTTTTGTCCCTGCTCAGCCAACAATCTTAATAGCTATGAGTTGTACTTAGTAGTTGTGTGTACTTAGTCAACTTAGCCATTCACTAAATTATAACTGCAGAAATAGCAACATAAAATTTTGGTCCTCCACTGAAGCAATTAGCAGCCGAATAATTAATGTTACATGCTTGTTGATTGCTTATTTATTTACTCATTCATTTATTCGGCCAACCCTCTCATACAGGCAACTTGGGCAATGAACAGAAATAAAAAAACATAATCATTAAAAAAATACACAAATAAAGGTGAAAGTTTTATACAGTCTGAAAAGAAACCTGTGTATAATCTGAAAAAAATAGTTTGCCAAAGTTGTATGGCTTGGACTAAGAACTAAACATCAAGTGGGAGGATTTTAAACTCTTTATCTTCTATATTTGTCTATACCATAGCATGGTATTGATAATGTCTACATCAAATCAAAATGGCCTAGTACTGTAATACAGGTAGTCCTCGATTTACAACAGTTCATTTAGTGACCAAAGTTACCATGGCACTGAAAAAAGTTATTTATGATTATATTTCACATTGAAAAAAATCATTTTTCACATTGCAGCATCCACATGGTCACGTGATTTATATTTGAATGCTTAACAAGTATTTATGAGAGTTGTCATGTGATCATCTTTTGTGACAAAGTCATTTAACAACCATGTTACTAATTTAGATTCACTTAACAATCGTGTTACTAATTTAAAAATGAAAGTGATTCACTTAACTGGCAAGGAAAGTTGTAAAATGTGGCAAAACTCACTTAACAAACTTCTCCTTTAGCAACATAAACTTTGGCTCAATGGTGGTTGTAAGTCAAATACTATTTGTATTGAACAGTAGTTGAGTTTTAAGAATACAAGGAGGAAGGAAGTAAATGTGTTACTAGAATAGAATCTTGTTAGTCAGGAAGAATGTGCTGAAAATTTAAAAAAACGTTTTGAGAGGGGAGGGTTTTTTCATGCACACAGCAATGGCTTTGCCATGGTTTAATTGGTTCTTCACAATTATTTAGAAGAATTATAATTCTAACTGAATAAATGACAGGGATTTATTCAAGTGGCATCTCTGCCCTATATAATGCAGTGAACAACGTCTGTTTGATTTATCGGAAGTGAAAACAAAGCCACAACCACTTCCTTTTTTTGTAAGGTTAAGTTTGGGATGGGATGGTATAGACTATAGAACATTAGAGTGCAAAATGTTTATTAAAATAAAAATATACTTCGTTCTGATGAATAAGACAAACAAGTGAATGATAGAACATAAACAATGTTCTCAATTTTGTTTTCTTCTTTATATATAGCAAGAATTAATAAAATTCAAATTAATTAAAATGTGTAAAATGGTAGAATACCACTTTCTTTCATCTATTATTCTGTTAAAGTATATTTTATTACAGGGGTGGGATTCTACCGGTTCCGACCAGTTCTATAGAACCCCTTGTTAGTTTTCTAAGCAGTTCGGAGAACTAGTAGTTAGAAGCAATCTCCTTTTGTTTTTTTCCACCCTAAATTACATTCTTGCCAGTATGCTTAGACTTCCTGTCTTCGGAGCTTCTGGGGCTTGACTTTCTTAAAGGGGAAGGATTGTTTTAAGATTTTTACACTGCTATTGGGAGGAAATACTTCCCCGGACAATCAGCACTTTGAAGAAATAATTGAATAATGAAGCAGAGTTGTCAGAAAGAAGCTTTTAATGACAGGGAACCAAGATGAGTGTCATTCAGCAAGGCTTCTTGGCTAGCTAGAAAGATTGACATTCAAACGTGAGTTTACATACCCTTTCTGAGTTTTGGTCTAAAACTGGTTTTTGGTGAAGGTTAATTCTGCGCTTGGTGACGTTTAATCCTGTGTTTATTGATGGGATAATTTTCCCGATTCAGCTTCAACAAGCAACAGCTACTGTTGTGATTTAATTATTTGTATTGTGTTTGAATTTTTTCCTGCCTCATTTTCTATCTTTTTCTATCTGGGGAGAGGGTCTTCCTTCACTGCTTTAGTGATATCTGGCACTGTCCTTTTGGGGTGTACTTCCAAGAGGCAGGATGCAAGCTTGGCACTGATTTTTTTTACTGCCTTACTGGGGGGCATGTGACCTTTCCTTAAAGCTGGATGATTTCCTTAGGATATCTTGTGAGATGAGTGAGACCAGCTGGTATCTTTAAGTGGTACAAATGGATCTAAGGATTGCTTCTCCTGGGTGTGCTGTTTCTGGACATCTTAAATGTCTGATCTGTTCCTTCTATAATCCACTATAAGCTCCTTGGTCTTATTGGTGTTGAGGACCAAGTTATTGTCTCCACACCATGAAAGCAACTGATCCACCTAATCTCGGTAGACACATTCATCCCCCCCGGAGATAAGTCCCACCACTGTTGTATCATCTGCAAATTTAGCAATAGTATTACTAGCATGAGTGGGAATGCAGTCATGCACATAAAGAGTATAGAGTAAGGGACTCAACACGCAACCCTCTGGTGTACCAGTGTTAAGAATAAGGGCTGAAGAAGTATGATTACCGAATCTGATACCTAATATGATTACCTAATACCTCTGTGAATGGCCAGATAGGAAATCCATAATCCAAAGGCAGGTTGAATTAGAAAGTCCAAGGTCCAGAAGTTTAGACACTAGTCTATGTGGAAGAATTGTGTTAAACGTTAGATTTCTGTCTGGATGTATAGAGTATGTATTAGAGTCCCAGAACAGGCTGGATTTGAGAATGAATATTCTATAATGTATTGGTGCCTAGCATTTTATCATTTGGCAGAAAAATACTAATAAACTTCCATATGGAGCTGGGACGTCATGAGAGTCCTCGAAAGCTCCTTGAAATCTTTACACAGTCCAATTTTTGAAATGGAAAGAATTGCTGCATCATCCACATACAAAAGAATGGGGATTGGACAACAGGTGAGGAATGAGGATGAAAATCTGGACTAATAAAAACTACAATACTGTTAATGTGCATATTAAGTTAATGGGGGGGGGGGGGGGTTAGAATACATCCTTATGAATTGGAATAGAATCATCAAAGTTACTCAAAAATAAAAAGCTCTGTTTTTCCCCCACTGCTCTGATAATTATCAAGTTGGAAAGTTAATGGCAGACTCATTGAGCAAGTGAAGTCACTTAAATACCTGGGTATTCACTTCCAATCTTCAACATGCTATGGTCATTAACTATGAAAGCACAAAAAGGAATTCTAGCAATCAACAAATTTGCTAGTTGACAGGGGCAAAACAATTTTGTTCCTGCAGCAACGGAACTATTCAAAGCCAAAGTTCAAAGCCAAACTGGAAAATGGATCTCAGATGAGTATTTACAAAAATTCTCAGTTCTTGAACAAACAATTTTTTTTATAATCAATAGTATATATTTCATACTATACGTCTAGTACCAGGTTAGAACTAGATTGCACATTTATCATAACATGTTTGTGATTCCTTAATGTGGGGAACAGAGAATACTAGCAACTTTGAAGTTTTGCTTTGGAATTAGAATTAGTAATACATTTTTGACATCCAGTAGATTTTGGTGAGGGAACTAATCCTAGTCCCTGAATTTCCTTGTCAATATGTCAGTTTTTCAATCTGTCTATTTCTCTTTGCTTTTAGATTTCTGGAATGTGCTACAGTAGTAGTCTTTTAAAAGTGTACCGCATACTTTGTGTGCCCTCTGGCATAGCAAAGATCTTTGCTCGGACTCTTGAACCAATTTTCACATCAGCGGAGCCCTCTAATGAATTTGGAGTTGGAATGGGAGCCACTATTGATATACAGAGGCAACAGCGGATGGAGCTACTTGATCGACAGATACTGATCTCTCAGGTTGCTCAGATGAGGCGACAAAGACAAGTAAAGTCCTTTTTCTGTAGGATGTAGCATATTTGTGAAATGGATTTATCCATTTATAAAGTTAATCCTTCATGAAATTAACAGTCCTTTTACATATTATGGATATGTTCTATTTATTCACAAAACATTCTTAGTGGATTCAATTATACAAAATGCCAAATTTACATGTCAAATGTTGGTTAGACTTCATGTGTCTATGTGTGCTTCTTGCTTTAGGATGTTGTTTAAATTCATACCATTTGATCAATTTATAGTTGAATGTATTATGTGAACTCATATAATGGTTTTTCAATAACCAAGTTAATTTTATTCGGTGATGTTTTATTGTTTACAATGTTTATAATTTTGTTTATGTTGACTTAATTATATATGCAAGTATCTAACAGTGTGTAAAGGTATCTGTGAGGATTTTCCCTTTCCTCTTTTCTAAAAGTCTCCCAGAATTTTAACTTGTAACTTGTCCCAAGAGGACAAACATGGCTGCACTGGTCTTATCAACAAGGATGGTTCCATTGGTGGAAATGTCATTTTCACAATTCTACATTTGAACAATGAAAATTAAATTGGCCTTTGTGCATATTTTATATGCCTATGTACACAAGCAACATATAGAGTAGGGCTCTATATATTCCTACATACACAAGCAACATATAGAGTATAGCTAATCCAAAAATTGACTCCCACCATTCCTTTTTGGGGTGAGAGGGGCATAGGATAGGACATTAAAGATGAGTTAAATCAGAGGACATTAAAGGTGATTTGAACTCAAGAGGACAAAAGTTTGCAGATGCTTGGTGGAAAATTACAGTTAGGTCTGACTTCCTGCCTGTGGCTAACTCTAAGTGCCATTGCTCCCACCCTTAAAAAAATATCTTTGGGTGAATTTACCCTTAATCATGTTAATTCCATGTGCTATGGGAAGATTGAATGGGGATAAGAGTGACTTCAGTGTGATCATTAGCTGAAAAAAAAAAAGGAAGCTTTAAAAAAATCTGATAACTATAGAATTGTTCACTGGACTCATATCTTCCTGATTAAGAGGAACTTAATTTTGGTAGTCTGGTCTACATTAACCTCAGAAAACTTTGGAGTGGCAATGGCTTTTGCAATCCAGCTTTAAAGTGATGAAATAGTTTCATACTTCCCCTTACAAAATCATTTCTCAGATTCCCTTCTTCTTTCATTCATTCCAGTTGCCCAAGATGCTCCTCACTACTGGATCTCTTGACTGACGTAGAAATATAGGAGGCATATTTAAGTTAAGGGCATATTTATGGAACTCTGGTTGGATTCTGCTTCTTTTTGAATCCAGTTCAGAAGGGTCTTAAATTCTTACATTGCCAACCCTTGCAGTTATCGCCTCCCTATCATCAATCCTATTTTTCCCCTTAAATATGTCATGTGTGCTGATATCTCAACATCCTTTCTGGAAAGTGCTAGGATCAAAAGAGCTGAGTCTGTCTATATGTTTAAAGTGTCATAAAGATTTACTGTTTTATTGTCACGTTGTTTTACCACTTCCTTCTCGGCTATGTAAGTTTCTTTATAGAGACCAGTTTACGTTAATCATTTCAAAATGGTTGTTGTCATCTGTGGAGAATGTATGGAAAGTATTTGAATTTGCAAAGGACTTTTGTCACTTTGAGATTTTGTCATTTCTTAGAGACAATAGGCAATCCCATTTTGACAGTGTCTCTTTAGCATATGGAAGACATAGAAGAGACTGGGGATTAATGCAGTGTTGTTACAGGGAGAGAGAGAAATGCTTTCTCATCCAATAGTTGGAATCTTAGAGATAGTCCTTAATGACTTGCAATTCAGAAAATATCTTTACCAGGATGGGTGATTAAAGGCATATAGTGTGGTTAACATAATTGAAACAGAATCCAGCATTGGGGACTCTGCAACAAAAGAAAACAGGATGTTGCTTCTTTTCCTGTCTAGGTTCCTTGTGTACAGCTATTGAAACAAGCACAGTAGAAGATTAGGGGCCAAGAGGGTTGTGGTACATATTTCTTTTTATTCTTCAGCTTCCTCAAACTACCGTAAGGATCAAAGCAAAGTTCAATGTAATAGGTCCTTATTATTTGAGGCAATTTGGTTCTTAAACCATGTGAAATTTCACTGGAAGCTTCCATTGTGACAGAACATTCAATAATAAGTAGAATGTTCAATAATAAGTATTAATCCTTGCCCTCATCAAAACTCTTTCATCTATTAATAGGTTAAGGCTGTGTGATGGAATGGACAGCTGAAGAGGGTGGGGGGGGGTAGCATCAAATGTCTCAGAAAGGAGTCAGCACATTTCAGGGAGGGGCCCAAGACAAGAGACTGTGCAGTCCTGAATAGGATGGGGGATGCAAGAAAAGATTCAAGGTAGTCACACCCTAGAATCAACCAGGGTATATTTATTAGGTTAGATTATAACTTTAATCTGGTAAATTCTATTAGGTGTAAGAAATCAAGAATTGGACTCAGTTGGATCTTACTGTGTCGGGTAAGACTGCAAGGGTATTTTTCTGAGGAACAACTTAAAAGCATGTTATTGGTTCAACAAAATGTTTTAGACAAAATTGTCTTTCAATATATATAGGTAAAGCTCCAATCATAGGAAATCTCTCATATTTTAAATGCTTTCAGCTGCTTGCTTCGTATTCTTAAGGAACCGAATAGCAGCGTTCAGTGGCATTCTGGTCTCTAAAGGACATGGACCTCTTTCCGTATATCCATAATTGAAGCATTCCTTGAGAAAAGTCACCCTTTAAAATCCACCTATGATTTGCTATGTAGACTGTCATTTCTACATGGAATCTAAATTGGACTTTGGCAGCTCTAACCTGTTTCCTTTGAGCACAATATGATACATATGCTGACATGTTTTCTTATGATCATGAACTGGAGGTTGGCCAATTTTACACTTTTCCTTGGTTTTATGTTTTTTCATTGAAAATAGTTTTATGCCCCAGTCTACTATTTGATCCCAAAATTGTTTCCCTTTTTCACTTTTTTTGTGATGTTACCTAGCATTCATAAGAACAACAGATTACTGCCAGGGAGGATATTCACATACTCCTCTGTTTCACAGCAGATCTTTCTAGTAGAGGCATGGTTGAAGATCACCTGTGCAGTGAGATTGCCCCAAGCTCTTGCCTTTTTTATAGAAAACTTTAAACAAGAAACACAAGGAACCAAGTGTGAGGAGAGAAATGGGGATTATTCCATCTAACAACAGGCTCCAAATTAACTCCCTCCAACCTTCAGAGATAATGGAGGAGAAATCCAAAAAGAATTCAGATAGAGAAGGAATCTATTTTTAAAAAGCTTCTTTAAAACGGTAAATTAAAGCAATAACTAGAAATATTGGGTAAGGCTATAATTTTGATTGTATGTTTAAGTTTAATATGTTGTCCCTGTACTAATTGTTTATCATTAGGAATCTTTTTACAAAGCCATTACCTTATATTTTGCTATGATTTGAGCAAGGGGAAATGACCACCCTGAAGATAGGTGGTAGCAGCAATAGGTACAAAGCTTCTACATCAAAGAAGTTGTGTAGACCCTCAGGCCTGGGGGAAGAGGGGTGAAATCTCCCGCCTTAGCCTGTGCTGTACAATTGTTCAGTAGTTTCCTTTATTTTAGCCAGTTATTTCATATCCTCCATTGACTAGATAATGAATGAATGAATAAATGAATGAATGAATGAATGAGTTCAGGATATTGATGTTTGCTTGGAGAGAAGAGTAAAAATTTAAATATTTGCTAGCCTCGTTTATGACTTCTTATAGGGCTATGCACTGGTATCATGAAATATTTATTATTTTGAGATTGGTTGAGGGTTGTCAGAGCTTATTATTATAGTAAGCTAGCAACATGGTAGCTTTTCAAGTTTAGTTTCTAGGGCGATCTATATAAAGTAATTATACTTTCCCAACCTTTACAAGCAAGACAAATATACCCTTTACAAATGGTAACAAAATAGGCAACAATTTAAAGAATTCTAGGAAGCTCACCCTCTGGTGCTTTTGCTCTGTTACATCCTGAAAAGACGGATGGCCTATGCAAAGCTAGAAGAAAGCGGAAACTTACTTACCACGAATTCCTGTTATCTGACCTTTAGATAGAAGGCAGGTAGCTAGATCTCCCCAAAATAGGAGCTTATTTTTCCATAAATGTTATCCTGTTGTTTTATAAAATGAAGGTTTAATTATTTAACTTACGGCTTCTAAATTTCCTGTAGTTAGGTCTAGTTTTATAAAACTATCCATTCAGGAAAAATATCACCCTGTAGGGGTTGAGGAGCTCTCGTGCTATTCTTCTTCACCTGGAGTATAAAAATGAGAAATCAGATCTCATTTCAGAAAGAAATGCTATCTTGAAATCTCCTAGCTCTGTCAATACTGTATGTCTGTTTATTATGATAATCATTTGCCGAAAGTAGGACAGAATTCCATGACAGATTATAAACTGGTCATGGACTGAAATATAATTAGCTAATCATCATGACAGAAGGACAGAAATCAAAGTGAAAAATAAAGTAAAGTAAGACAGTAAACAAGTGAATTGCAAAAAAGCAAAAAAAAACAACTTTAAATTTAAATGTAAAAAGGAATCTAAAAATTAGAGAGATTTAAATGATTAATTATAAATTTGATTGAATCCTGTATTCATATAAAAGAATTTTTAAAAACTAGAGTGAAAATTTAGTTTTTTGAAATAGTTTAGAGTAATCAATAAAGGGGAATATTTGTAGCTCAGAATTGAAATTAGGGATCCTTGGTACTCTCTGAGCTTGCTTGTTTTCTTGCAGACATTTCACTATCCTAACTAGGTAACATTACCAATGCTATAGTAAGGAGTACGATTTGCTGTCAGTTTATATTCTGATGTCTTGCCTGCCTGTGTGGGTGAGTTTAGAGTAAGATCTGAGAGTAAATACAAACATTGATAATCTTTATAGAATATCTTAAATGATTGAGAGGATATTTAGTGAATATATTGTG